TCCTCCTGGGATCCAGCTCTCAGATGTAAACTGAGAGGTGGGGCGGGATGGAGAAAAGTGACTCCCAAGTTTCTTTTCATTTCGGACACTCCTGATCACTGGTCAGAGGTAATCCTTCTCTTCCAAGGCCCAGCCCCATCTCACCCCAGGTGGCTTCTGCCTGCAGTAAATATTCATCCATGGTAGTTCAATTTCTTTAATTTGAAGAAAAGTCCCTGAGCTAAGCTGAGCTTGGAAAACCTGGGAGGAGTCCTTCGATTCTCAGGTGAGACCAAATGTTCTCACTGAGGATTTGCTTTCCACCCCGAAGACTTGTTTAGACCCTACAGTAGCTCTATTCTGGTTCCAGAACACCTCTCCCATCCCAAAGAGAATTCCTGTCCAGCCCCTTCTTAAGTAGATGGACTAATAACCTGATCTTTGCCCATCCCTTTCCAAACCTTTTTTTTTTTTTTTTTGCTCCCCTCCCCTCTATGAAACTTTTCCACATCAGGTCAGGAGCCAAGCTAAGGGTAGATCCTTCGATCTGCTACCCAGCCAGCTCCTGGCCCCCAGCTCACCCCAGCCCTTCCTGCCTGGCTCAGTGGCTGACCCCCGGTCCACGCCTCAGCCATTTCCCGTCTCGCCTGCCGCCATCCTCCTTTCCCCCACCCTCGCTCCCTGCCTCTGCCAGCTTCACTCTCACTAACCCCTCTCCCTCTCCCCATCACAGCCTCTCCTTGCTGAGATATCTCCCAAACACTGTCCAGCCAGCAGGTTACTTTTTTGGAGGGTGTGTGTGTGTGTGTGTGTGTGTGGCAGGGAGGTCTCCAAGACTAAGGTCTCTTCACATGAAACTCAGGCTCACCCTCCCAGGTTGCCACATGAAAACTTCAGAGATTAGTGACACCCTAACAGCAGGTGGGAAAATCTCCTTACCTCTGTCATGAGGCGGTCAGCACCGCTGTTCTCCTCATCTTTGAAGATGATGTCAGGGTTGTAGTTGGGTACGAGGTCCCGGAAACGCTCCGAGCTTCTTGTTACCCTCCCCTCCGCTGGCCCACTGGCGCCCAGGGTTCGCTCGGGCATGCTGGGCACAAATTGCTTGTAGAGCAGCGGTACAAGCTGCTTGCGCACATAGCGGCGCCGGCCAACTGGTCCCCGGCCTGGCCCACAGCTCTGGGCAGGCAATGCCAAAAGTGCCAAACAGCACAGGGGCAACAGAGTGGCCAGCAGCGCCATGGGTGCAGCGGGCTTGGGTACAAGGGAGCGTTTTGTCCTCACTGGCTCTCCTGTCAGTTGGGCATCTCTAAGGTCCCCAGAGAGTGCAGCAGGCAGAGCTGCCCCAGAGTGCCCTAGAACTCTTGTGGCTCTGCGCACCTGGCTACCGCTAGTTCTGCCCACATGCCCCAGGGGGCCTGGACCCTGCTACTCATGGATCACCATAGCTGGACAAGGGGGAGGGGGGGTCGTGGGTGAGTTCCAGCCCAGCCCCGTCTCAATGCTGCCTGGCTCCCGTGCTGCCAGAAAGCCCCGACTCCGCCTTAAAGTGGCCCCAGGCCCCGCCCCCCGCCCTTCTCCCAGGACCGTCCCGCCCCCTCCCACCCCGGGCGGGGGATGCAGCCGGTCACCACTGGTGCATTTTGTGACTGAAGTGTGTCCCATCCTGGAAACCATGCAGGCACCTGCCTAGGAAATCCTTGTAGCTTTACAGTCCTTGGCTGCCTGGATAAGCATCTTTCTACCTCCAAGCCTAAATTTGGAAGCAAACCATCCTCCTCTGAGGCTTGAATTGGGTCTTTGCTCTCCCAAAGCCTATCCTGGCAGGCCGTGTCCTCTGCTGTCATCAGGAAGTATGAGTTCTAACTTCTGCTCAAGGCCAACCAAATCCTTTGGGCATACCACCAGAGCCTCCCTTCTCTGTGATCCTCCCCAACCTCCGGAGCTTCTATCTCACTTCTCACTCAGCAGTAACTAGGTCTGGGAGGTGTGCATCCCAGAGGGCCATTTTCCCTAGTAACTTTTTAGTCCCCCTTGGGGAACACCCCCCAGAATTAGACAGGTCTTGGTACTTATAGTCATGAATTTCTATAACTTTACCCACAGCGCCACTTCCGGCTTTTTTCTTTTGCTTATGTGGTGCTGAGGAATCAAACCCAGGGCCTCATGCATGCAAGGCAAGCGTTCTACCACTGAGCCACCTTCCCAGCCCCATGAATTTCTAACTTTTGTGCTTTCTCAACCCTTGCCAGATATCTTTGGAACTTCCAAAAGGGCACCCATATCTCATGCTTATAATTCTAGCTACTCAGGAAGCTGAGACCTGAGGACCAAAGTTAAAAGCCAGCCCAGGCAAGAAAGTCTGTGAGACACTTACCTTCAATTAGCCAGCAACATCCCTTCATCCACTCCCCCATACTCCCCCCTCGCAAACAAACAAAACAAAACATAAATGAAGCTGTAGTTCAGTGTCAGAGTGCTAGCCTTGAGGGGAAAAAAAATCTAAAGGGGGCTGGGAATGTGGCTTAGTGGTAGAGTGCTTGCCTAGCATGCATGAAGCCCTGGGTTCCCTTCCTCAGTAACACATAAACAAAAGAAGTCAAATAGTGCTGTGGCTCAAGTGGTAGAGTGTTAGTCTTGAGCAAAAGCAGCCCAGGCTTCTGAGTTTAAGCCCCAGGACCAGCAAGATAAGAAAGTACAAAAAATCTAAAGGTTGCTGGGTACTGGTGGATTAATTCAAACCTAGCCCAAGCAGGCAAGCTCATAAGACTCTTACCTCCAATTAAACACAAGAAAACCAGAAGTGTAGCTGTGGCTCAAAGTGGTAGAGCACTATCCTTGAATTAAAATAGCTCAGGGACAGTGCCTAAGCCCTGAGTTCAAGTGCTAGGACTGGCATAAGCAGTGAGCCCTTCAAGTCCTAGTTTGTAAGGAAATAATGGTTATTTCCTTTCACTTTCCATGATCATTTATTTTTGTCGGTTGTGTGGTTTGAACTCTGGGTCTGGGCACTGTCCCTGCGCTCTTCAGCTAAGGTTAGTATGGTACCACTTGAGCCACAGCGCCACTTCTGGTTTTCTGGTTTATTGGAGATAAGAGTCTCATGGGACGTTCCTGCCTGGGCTGGCTTTGAACCAAGATCCTCAGATCTCAGCCTCCGGAGTAGCTAGGATTACAAGAGTGAGCCACTGGCTCACTTTCCATCTATTCTCTTCTCTGGACTCGGATCTCATCTCAGAAGACAGTTCATTCATTTGCTTTTGTATTTTTTGTGGGGGGAAGTCCTAGGGCTGGAACTCAGGGCCTGGGCACTGTCCCTGAACTTCATTTGATCAAGGCTGGCACTCTACCACTTGAGCCACAGCACCACTTCTAGCTTTTTGTTTATGTGGCACTAAGGAACTGAACCCAGGGCTTCATGCATGCGAGGCAAGCACTCTCCACTAGGCCACATTCGCAGCCTCGCCTCCTTTTTTGCTGGTCGTAGGGTTTGAACTCAGGACCCTGAGCTTTTTTGCCCAAGGCTACCCCTCTACCACTTTGAGTCACAGCTCCACTTCTGGTTTTCTAGTGGCTAATTGGAGGACTCATGTGCTTCCCTGCCAGGGCTGGCTTTGAACCAGGATTCTCAGATCTCAGACTCCTGAGTTGGTAGGATTGCAGGTGTGAGCCACCAGCACCTGGCTTATACATTCACTCATCACTCACTGATTATATCACTTATAAATCACTTCCTCTAAGAAGCCTTCCCTGGTGTCCCAACAATGTCCATCTGTGTTCCCTTGTGAAGTAGCAATTAACTATAATGGCAGTACAGCATTAAAATTATCTGGCACTCTTCTAGACAAAGCATTTCTTCAGCACAGCTTGTTTATCATATATCTCCAAGGCTAACTGTCTAGTCTACACTAGGGTGCTCAGCAACTATTTGTGGAATCTATGCTTTTTTGTATTCCATATTTACCCTCCTCTCACCCAGCTCCATGACCAGCATTCACAGTAACTTTGTATACATTTAGGAAAAACAAAGAAACAAAGCACCATTCCTGGCTAGAAGTTGATCATGGGGGTGGGAATATAGTTCAGTGGTAGAGCAATGCGTATATGTGAAGCTCTGGGTTTGATCCCTAGCACTGGTGGGGAGGGAGTACCTTCAAGGAAGTGAGAGCCTCTACAAAGATCAACTTAGGTGCTTTTCTGAGATAGGGATAAAACAATCTTTGGCTGGGTGTTAGTGGCTCATGCCTGTAATCTAGCTACTCAGGAGGTTAAGCTCTGAGGATGATGGTTCAAAGCTAGCCTGGGCAGAAGAGGCTTTCTTTTTTTTGGTTGGTTGTGGGGCTTGAATTTGGAGCGTGGGCAGTGTCCCTGAGCTCTTTTGCTCAAGGCTAGCATTCTACCACTTGAGTTATAGGGCCACTTCTGGTTTTCTAGTGGTTAATTGGAGATAAGGGTCTCACGGGCTTTCCTGCCTAGGCTGGCTTTGAACCATGATCCTCAGATCTCAGTCTCCTGAGAAGCTAGAATTATAGGCATGAGCACCTGGCCCCCAGAGGCTTTTATCTCTAATTAATCACCAAAAATCCAGAAGTAGAGCTGTGGCTCTAGTGGTTTGAGCAAAGAAGTTACAGGACAAAGCCCAGACCCTGAGTTCAAGCCCTACTACTAGCATGGAAAAAAAAATCTTTGATAGTCAGCCGTTTCATTTACTCTACAGCTAAGTGTCAAGTAAGGGAAGACAGGGCTAAAGAGGTGGGGTGTATCTTATTACAATGCCCTTCAATCCCCAATTCCCAAGGTACAGAGATAAGACAATGGATAAAGTAAGGGGACCAACCAACTTTAAGGAAGGCTAAGGTCCCACTGCACAACTGTATGGCCTAACACCAGATCTATGTAGCCCAAAAAAAAGGACACTAACAGGATGGTAGCAGACTTTTCTGTTTATCCCACTTGGTTGGAGCAAGGACATTCAAATAGACACAGAGACAGGCTCTTAAAAAAAAAAAAAAAAAAGCAAACCCTGGTATCAACTTTATTGCTGATGGGTGCAGCCTCTTCTTCCCTATGCCCTCCGTCTCCAGTGGTCCAAAGTCCTCCAGGTTAGCACAGTGCTTTAGGATCTGCTTGGCCAGAGGCAAAGGAGACCACAACCAGTCTCCCGCACTAGCCCCTGGCCAGTCCCTCCCACTCCCACCCCACCCTATTGCACATCAAATCATGTAAACATGGCTATGGGCTTGGCCCAAAACAGCAGTGAGGCAGATTGATGTGTAAACGGTTTTGAGACCAGAAGCCAGATCCAGTCACCTAGCTCTACCTCATCTGAGGCCACAGCTAAGTCTGAAAACACCCAGGCCTGGTCCCAAACTCTGGCTCAGATTATGCAACAGTGCAGAGATGGCTCAGTTCCCCTCTGCCACCCAACCTTTCAGATTCTAGGTCCTGAGGTCCAACCATCTTGCACTCCCTTCCAGGACTAGGCAGCAGATGGCAGTGTCCAGTTCTCTCCCTCCCACCCCCAGCTGCAGGTCACTGATGGGTCTTCCTAGATGCCCGGGGGAAACCGGAGACAGGCAGTGGCAGTTTGTCCAGTCCTGGAGAAAAGTGGGAGATGGACAGTTAGAAGTCTTTTATCCTAAGGCAACCAAGGCAAAGATACACACAAAGCAGGAGCACACCCTCATTCCTGATGACCTAGAGGGACCTTTCTTAGAACCAACACCCCAGCAGCCCATATCTCCCACTCTTTCTCACCAAAGGCCCGGATCAGCTCAGCCCTCACAGCTGCAGTGAAGGTCTTCACCAGGCAGAGTGTGGTGAGGCCAGCAAAGGCAGCATTGTAGAGGAACACGATGTAAAAGTTGCCTAGCCAGTTAAAGCGTCCAAAGTCACCCAGCAAGTCAAAGCGAGTCAGCCCTAGAGTACAAATTCCAGGATGAGACAAGTTTGGGGTGGGAGGGCTCCCCAACTTCTCTCCTGATAGAAGCCCAACTTTCTGCTGCCTCCTGGTGGCGACATCACAGCTGACAGCTTCTCTGCATTATTGGGGTCACCTCCCCAGCTGTCCCACCACAGGGCCAGTGCTGAACTCCTAACTCCAGGTGTCTCTAGGAGTTCCCAGGCTTGCAACTTGTTTTTGGACCAGAGATCTACTAGCTGACCACCTTTCTTCAATACAGAGAACAATGTAGTAGCTCAGAGCTCAGATTGTGATAAGGCTGCTTTAATTCATATCCCAGCTCCACCCCTTCCTAACTAGCTGTGTGATCTAGATGAAGTTCTTTAAACTCTCTGTGCCTCAATTTCTTCAACTTAAAAACAGAAAAAAGATGGACTGGGAATGTGGCTTAGTGGTAGAGTGCTTGCCTAGCATGCATGAAGCCCTGGGTTCCATTCCTCAGTACCACATACATAGAAAAGGCCAGAAGTGGTGCTGTGGCTCAAGTGGTAAAGTGCCAGCTAGCACTGAGGAAAAGAAGCTCAGGGACAGTGCCCAGGCCCTGAGTTCGAACCTCCAGGATTGGCAAAAAAAAATTAAAAAATAAAAAACAAAGGCAAAAACCCAAACAAGCCAATTCCCTTTTCTCCTCTTGCCACTTACTTACCCAGGGTTCGAGAGAAGACAGGAAGTGCTGAGCTTAGGACCAGGAGACAGACGCAGTTGCCAATTATCTGCATGGGAGTAGAAAAAGAAACAGGAGTAGCAGAGTACTAGTACCTAGTACCCTGCCCTAGACCCCAGCAGGCTCTCCCACTTCCCTCCCAGCTACCTGTGTCATGGTAGTATCATGCCATCTGGGCCGAAGACTCCAGAAGAGAGGAGAGCTGTAGAAGCCCACAACCGAGGACACCATCAAGTAACTGTCACTAGGTTAGGGAAGAAGTGACCAGCTCCAAAGGATGAAAGAATGCCTCATCTCAAAAGGAATGGTCCTTACTCCCAATCGTCCTTTCAAGGTCAAGTTGAAGGGGGTGAGGGGTCAGTTATGGGGCTTAAACTTGGGGCCTGAGTACTGTCTCTGAACTCTTTTGTGCAAAGCTAGTACTCTAATACTTTGAGCCACAGCACCATTTCAGCGTTTTGTTGGCTAACTGAAGATAAAAGTCTTATAGACTTTTCTGCCCAGGCTGGCTCTGAATTGAACCATGATCCTCAGATCTCAGCTGCGCACTCGAGTAGATGGAATTACAGGCATGAGTCACTAGCACAAAGCTTTTCCCTCTTTCTGAATCCCTGATTGGTGAAAAACTTGCTCCCTTCTCCATCACTGGTCTCTAGAGACCCAGAGAGACAGTCCCAGAAGAGTGCTGTCAAGAGTCCCAGGTGAGGGGCTGGGAAGGTGGCTCAGTGGTAGAGTGCTTGCCTTGCATGCCAGAGGCCCTGGGTTCGATTCCTCAGCACCACATAAGCAA